GCTGTGGTTCTCAACCTGCGGCCCACAATTATAAATAGGTTGAGAACCACTGCTTTCAGAGGTTCAAGTGGAGTTTTTGGGTGACTTCAGCTCTTGATATGGTAAGTTAACTCTTCTATTCCCTTTATCGAGTCTGAGCTGAAGTCAAACTGTTGCAGACTATCCATGTTCCTGTGTCTCTGTGAGTAACTAACGAGAAGAGTTGTGGTGGTGGTATAGCGCTTACAGTAGCAAATACTGTATTGAACATTATTTATAACCTCCATTACAAATCCCTCTTTTCTCTTGCTTATAACTTTGTTAAAACTTCTCCTTTTGGGGCTGAAATTTTCCATTCTTCATTTCAAACAAATGAGGAGTTTTTGTTGGTTTTTTTGGGGGGGGGGGGGGGGGGAGAGGTTATGATATTGAAGGAAATTCTGGAGTATCTGAGAAATAGTGTTAAGTAAATGGGGTAGAAGAGGAAGCTTTAATTTTAAAAAATTGTGACTTCCCCTCACCCCCCTCCAAATTTAAAATTGGCTAAAACTCCGAACCAAACAAATGTGTGTCTTGAGTTTCTGATTGGAAGAAAATAATTATAAGCAAGTGAAAAATTGTTTCTGTGCACATTCATTGGACATCTCCTAAGAACTTAGCGGAGCCTAATGAAAACCTATCCCCTAACCCACTTGTGAGATGATGTAGCGGGCAGGGAGAATTGCATATTCTTTCTTCCTATCCTGACGAGAGGGTTGGATAGGGATAAGTGTTGCTGTTAGGACTACTTGGGTTAGGGAGAATGTAAATGGTTCACTGAAACACATTAACAATTTCCAAAATAAAATAAACTGCCCTAAGATGCCCCTCCCCCTGCAAAGAAACTTTATTTTTATGGTCTGCATTCTGCTATGTTTTTCTAAATCTAAATAATTTACTCTAAAATCATTTCTATTTCTAGTGCAAAGGGAGGTTACTACTATTATTTTTGACCCTGCCTTGCAAAGCTGTCTCATGCCAAGCAAATGGTAACATGAAAACTTGCCCCTCCCCAACCCGTAAAACTCCAAGTGTGAACTGCAGTATCCACTTAGACCATTACAATACACAGTCGTGTCATGCCAACATATTTTCAGAACTGTGGTTCCTTCCTCCAAGAAATTGCTAGCTGTCTATTAGATTTTGTTTCTTAATCATTTAAATCTAGAGCCTTGTAATTTGCATTTGGTTAATCTGCCCATCCCATAATTCACGTACACACACTTCTCTCTCCAGTGCTCAGGAGAGTTTTAATAGTAGAAAACTGTCAGATGGTCTCATTTCAAAGACATTACAAAATATGCCCCAGAACATTTATTACTATTTATCATTATGAAGTATTATGAATAAAACTAAATTACTCTGGTCTGATAAATTAAGTACCTTGATGTGCATATTCTTGCTTTCTTAAAATTTGTTTTTACACAATAATTCCATTGCAAGTAGCTGAATATGGGGGTCTCCCAGTCATTGGTGTGAATTAGTGAGGTTCTGCTTGGAAGTAAGTAAAAATTGGAGGTTGTAACATATTCTTATAAAGGTTTAACAGAATAAATTATTTAGACAACCTACAGATTTTCGCCCTTTTAATGTTCTTGTCTCTTAAGCCATTCCATAGACTTGCAGAATGGCTTTTAGATGTGCATAAAACATCCCGGACATAGAATAATGGTGCTGTTTTGTTTTGTTTTGTTTTAAAAAGCAGCTTGGTATTAGTTGTCCTTTTTACTTTTGTTAAATAGCAAGCAGAAGTTCAAGAAGAAAGTGATGATGAAGAAGAAGAAGAAGATGATGAAGTCTTTGGCTTCATAAGCCTCTTAAACTTAACTGAAAGGAAGGTCAGTAATACTGGTTAACTTCTGGATGGTAATTTCTAGAAATTAAAACTCTTTCTATTCATCCTGTCTCATTGAAAATTACTTTGTAGACATTAAGCCAAGCGCCAGATGGTTGTCCCTCTTTTTCCCCCCCTGTCACTGTCTACTCAAATGCCTTTTATACTATCGATAATTTAATTGTTCTGAAATTCTGTTCCGCTTCTATAAGGTTACACTGTAAAGCATCTGTACATTGTGTGGCCAAGCAGTTCGGCTGCATTTTTATGGTAATAATGGAAAAGCACTGTAAGTTTTGGACAGGCCACTAAGAATTTCCAAATAAAGCTCATATTTCTGTTAGACCTTACCATTGTACAGGTCATGTCATGATGCATTACAGTCTTCTAAAAATATATTTAATGCATTTGTAAGGCAACTAGAAAGGCATTCATGTCACCTGTACCATAAAATAAAAGTTACCATGCCAAATATACAGACAACCTGAACTAGATCTGGCACAATGACTTACGTACCTGATGATTCTCTGGCAAATTTCACCACCAGTCGAAAGGGATAAAATATGTGCAGAGAATAGGGATGAAAAGAGGCCAGTAAATACAAAATCCAAGGGAACAATATTTAATTAATAATTCCAGATATATTCCCTTCATTATTGTATAAACTCATCTTGGGTTTTGGATTAATCTAATCTTGTGATTTATATCATTAGTTCATTTTAGTGCTTTGAATTACATTTTTCTGTTAACTTGATACCATTGCGTATAGAATGTGTTACAATATTTTAGATGAAAATGGTATGAAAATCACAGTGTAAGTGCTTATGTGGCCCTCATTAGCATGGTATCTGAGTGCCCCACGGTCTTTAGTGTGGCTGCTATGTTAGGTAGGGAAGTGTTGTTATTCCCATTTTACAGATGGAGGACTGAGAGACTAAATGACTTGCCCAAAGTCACACATGAAGTCTGTGATGGAATAGGAAATTTAGACAAGGTCACTCAAGTGTCAGGCTAGTACCCTAACTACTGGACCATCCGTCATCTCATGTTTCATGTTGCTCAGTTGTTGGGGTTGTTCCCCTTTTTTTGTGGTTATTATGCAGAGTGGAGTTGTAACTCATAGCTGCATTGTTATCATTTAGGAACCTCAGCCTGCCATCACCTTGAGGGTGGGTGAATAATAATTTTCAAAATCTACAATACTTTAGAAACCATTGCAGGAAATTGCCCACAGGCCTGTTGAATACTCTCTTGAAGTTCACTTTCAGGTTTTCTTATGTAAATAATTGTTCTGGAATGTAAAGAAAATGTACCCTTTGATTCCTAGGGTACTCAATGTGCTGAACAAATAAAAGAGCTGATTCTAAGCCTGTGTGAGAAGAACTGTGACCAGAGTATGGTTGAACACCTGGATAAGCTCCTAAATGACACCACCAAGCCTGTGGGCTTCCTACTAAATGAAAGATTCATTAACGTACCACCGCAGATCGCTCTGCCCATGCACCAGCAGCTGCAGTAAGAGTCATTCTAAACATGATTTTGAACAGTAATTTTTTTCCTTCAGATGTCTTCAGAAACCTTATTTAAATGGAAATGTGTTGAAGGAGTGGGAATGATACCATAGATTTAAGTAAGAAATATAGCAAAAGAAAAAATACAATTGTTTTATATAAGGTCCTTGATATTGACTTTTAATTTCTTTATTTGATACTACTTCTTTATGCATTAAAATTCCTAATCATTGTCTCTTGAAGAAATAGGAAGCCACTTTAAAATTATGCCACATACTACTAGAACAGGATAAGTGTGTGAATTGTAGTTGATCTTTGTTTTGAAAATTGAGCAAGCTTATTAAAAATTATACAACTTACAGCATTTTAATAATGAGTATCTGAGGTATTTTTGTTTATTGTGCTTAACTCAGGCTTTGGAATGGAAATCTTGGCTTCAGCAGATTTGTAAGTGCATGATCTCTGGATGAGCCATTGAAATACTTTTTAAATCAGCGTCTGAGATGAGTGTAGAGGGTTAGGCACTACTTTGTCTCCCAACAGGGTTCAGTGTTAAGGCCCTGTCAGGGATATCAAGACAGATGATTTGGAAAGAAATGAGCAAAGAAAGAGTAAGCAGAGATGTCAAGGAAGGGAAAGAATCTAAATTTGTTTGTAGCTTTGACTGAGATGTAGGGTGTAGTAAGATGAGAGAGAGGTCAGGACATCCTTTCTGGTTTTCTGTGTGTGTGGTGTGTTTGTTTTACTTTTTTAAACAACTTTCTGGCAATCTGGTAGTATATTAATGGGAAAATGAACACCCTTTGCTCTTCTATTTTTTTCCAATCTTCCTATCACAGGTCACATCACTTGCTGGCCCTTCTAATTTGTCTACTTCCAAATGCCAAATTAGGTTTTCTTTGAATCATTTCCTCCTAGTCCTATTTAGACACTATCTAATCTCCCACAGGGATGAGTTTTCTCTCATTTAGGTCTGCCTTTCCATTCCCATTTGTCTCATCTCCTCTTATTATTCAGGAGAGATTTTTTTTTGTTTTGTTCTAGGACACTTTGGAGTTTCAGTGCTTTTCCCCCTTTCCCTTGGAGTTTCTCATTCCTTATTAATAACTCCTTTGAAGGAGAATGGCAAATTCTGTTGTGGTTGTAATTGGGCGATATTTGACTTTGGCTTTAGCCGGCTTATCATCTTTCTCTGTCTCGATCTCAGGGACCACCATCTTCCTCCCCACAGTTTTAAATATGTCTGCAGGAATTAATTTCTACTGCTCCTCTGGCTTGGAGTTATCATGATCTGAAGCAAACACTTCAGCAGGAGCACTGGAGCTTGTGGGAAAAGATTGTCAGAAGTGTTTGAAAAGGGTGTGTTTTTGTGTCTTCTGGCCTTTGGACTTTCTTTTTCTTATGCCTTTTGAGAGCGGATGATTATCCCCATGATGGGGGTTCTTGTCTCTCTACTGTTCACTGTCTCTCTCTTTTTGGGGAATTTATCTCAGGAGAATGGTAGGTCTCTAACCCCTGTGTTCTTTATTTTCCACTATGTGATGGGCAGGAAGAGTTAGGAGTACATCCTTGAATGAGCCAAGATTTGTCTTGGGAAGAAAAGAAGTTGTAAAAGATGCCTAGCCAGATAGCTCTCTTGCCCACTTCAGAAATGAGGGAAGATCTTTGAGCTTTTCCTTCTGAGATGGATTGGAGGGTTTTGTGGGGATATTATTAGACTTACCCCAGAACATTCCCTGATTGGTGAGAGTGGTCCAACATATTGAGTCCCGAGTGCTTAAGAGGACTGACCCAACTTTGTCAGGTTGCCTCTGAAGGGTTTGAGACGTGTGTGTTGGGATGGATGTGGATGCCTGACTAGACCATCCAGACACTGAGCCCCTTCCCTTGGCAGAATAAGTGTCCTTGGTCTGGGAGTGGAGGTTCCTATCTCTGGATTCTGAGAAGGTCTCCTCACGAAAGGAACTCACCTGGCCTTCTGCTTGGTCTACTCTACTCTGAATTGGGAGGTGGAAACAGAAAGTAAGAGATCAGCTGGTTAGTCTCTTAATCTAATGTATCAAATTGGGAGAGAAATGAGGATTCCAAAAATTTACACAGGTTTAGACCCCATTTTATTTTCACACTATAGTTTTAATTTTTAGCTATAGAATTAATTTTTAACACCACATGTAGGATCCAAGTATTTTGAATAGAATATAATGGTGATTATGATAGGGATACATGTAGTTAAGAGCCAGGAAACATGAGCTTTATGTCAATGAGACTGTAAAAGGGGAGAGCCTCACAATGAAGGTGCAGTATCTACTTCGTTTTTTCCTTATTACTCTATAACAAACTGAGAAATACACGTTCTCAGCCATCACTGTTCCATTACTGGCTTAGTGATTCAATTGCAGCTAATTGTGCATTAGTAGAGATAGTTCTTGCAAACATCAAGCATTCAGAAATTGTGAGTTTGACTTAAAAATCATGGGGCTTTTAACAGTAGATTTGGGGTTCTTTGTATTTGCCTTCTAGTATTTGAGCATTTATAGTTCACATTTTCTAGCTTTTATCTGCAATCATAAAGACTAGAAACATACCTTTTTTAGTGAAGGATGAGATGCTCCAACATCGCTCCATGAGCTGGGTCTTCAGGTAATGTTGAGAGACTTTCAGTAAAATAATAGGATTTGTAAGAAGTTGAAGGTTTGCAGGACTTGAAATGAGCAGTGATCAGAGCCTCTTTCCCTCCCCACCTTCACTAAGACTAGTCAGAAATGGTCAGTCTCCTGGATAGTAAATGGAACCACACATTTGTTCTTCCATTAGTGGAAGAGGAATTTACACAGGTGACTCCATGCTTGACTGAAGAGGGAACAGGCAATAGAATATTAACACATCCAGAATTATGGAGGTAGGATTCATAAATCCCAGCTCTGGACTGGGAGGGGTCTTTGAACCCACAGAGGCTGAATATGCTGGGGTGCACTGCCATAGAGTGCTGTTGTCCACCCTGGGGACTAGGGAGCAGAGAGTGACTTTAGCGGTTCAGAAGCTAGGGGAACTATGAGCACTCTTGTAAAGGAAGGGGCCTTTCATTTGTTTGGGTTGAAAGAAGCAGGGAATTTGTTTGACTTAGATCCAGGCCTCATTTAATCTTAATCTACCATTGCTGTTAGGGAGCTTTCATCTGCTCTTTTAAGTAGTAATATCGATCTCTAAGAAATGAATACTTCTGGATAGGAGAAAACCTATAACTGTCTCTTTGCTTTTTTGTTTGATAAACTTTTAAATGGCTTGTCAGAGGAGAGGCTGGGGGAGATTTGAGGTTTATTTCCAGTGGAACATGACACACACAATCAGAATTCAGGTCTTGGGCTCCTTTTCTGAATGAGGCTTGCAGCACTGCAGTGGCAACACACTCAACCAAAGGGAGGGATGAGAGCATCCAGTCGTCTTCGCCAGACAGAAGTTTGTCATTTTTAAGGGCTTCTGGAAAGGGGCAAAAAATAAATAAAACCTGGGGATCAAAGAAATGAGCTAGTTTTTGGCTGGGGAGGAAACCACTCCTATGAATTGTAGTTAATGGTGAGTGTTTAATTAGGTTCTAAGCATTTACAGCCACAAGAACATAGTGTGTCCTTAGTGAGGGTTCCATAACAGAAGAAATGTATTATGAGGAGTAGGGGATTGGTTTTGTTGGTGGTGATTTTAAGAGTAACTGACTGCAGAGAACTTTTCAAAGAAAATTACTGCCTTAAATTCATATATAAAGTCAATATAGCTATTTGAGTGACAATTATGAAGATTGGGCAAAGCATCAGTATGTTATTGCATTATGAGATTTGTGTGCATTTAATGGGGCTTTAAAATATTCTTTATGTAAATAATATTTGTCTTTAGGAAAGAACTGGCTGAAACTCAAAGAACAAATAAGCCATGTGGAAAGTGCTACTACTACCTTCTCATCAGCAAGACCTTTACAGAGACAGCAAAGCGCAGCTCTAAGAAGAGAGGCGAGAGCACACAGCAGAAAGAGGAATTAATGTTTGCAAATGCAGAGGAAGAATTCTTTTATGAGGTAACCGACGTCTGATACCATTAAATCCAATTATTTGATTTTTCTTTAGAGCAGGGAAATGGAGGTTCTGACTCTGCTTTTTTTTTCAGTAATAACAATGGCCTTTCTTCGTGAGCCACTTTAGAAACCTGACTTGCAGTGATTATGAAAAGGTGGTAAAATGACCTTTTTATTTAAATCCAGCTGCTTTTTGTGTAATTACTATTGAAAGATGCACAAACAAACCATTTTTGCTAATGTAGGATATTTATACTCGCTAACTCTTGACCAAAGTAAACCATGTTTTGCCTTGGGGGAACCACTGAGAGCTGCACTACTACAGATGCAGATTATAAAATGGCACTTGGCTTTTTTGTAGTAATAGATTGATATTATTTACAAGAAGTCTCAGGGACATGGTGAGGAAAGCACTGGCATGTGCCTAGGCTCTGTTTACAGTAGCCCTCCCATCGTTGCTGCCACCATTGGAGCTGCACCAATGGTAGTGTAATGGTGGGAAAAATGCCTGATGTAGACAAATTCTTCAAGGGAAAGATCAGCTCTTACCATCAGTGTCTTGGCCACCAACAATTAACTGGTTATCTTGAGGGTAATGCTGAAGGGATTTAACAAAAGATTCTGAACTAAGTGAAACATCTGGTTGAGGATCTGTGAATGAAATTTCCAAGTTTTTGAAAAGAATGGACAGAAGAGAGCAGAAGCACAGAGTTTAACAGTCTGAATTGGCCCTTCAAGGTTTTTAATCCTAGGGGTGGAAAAAACCCTTTTAGTGCAGAGGCAGTTGTACCCTCTCTATAGTCTTCTATTTGAATCTGCATAAAAAGTTATAACTATTTGGAAGAGCATGATTCAAAGAATCAAAGCAATTGCATCTTTCAGGCTTCTAGGAAAAAAGAAGTCTGTGGTGTTATGAAGGACCAAATCAAATTGCTACATGCATGATTCATGTAAAACATAAATATTTTCCCCTCTGAATCCCCCAAAAGTAGATCACCTTCTTACAAACAGACATCACATTTATGTTCTGAGAATTCTTCCCAAGAAACTTGGCAGATTCAAAGCTCTGAATCTGTGCTGCTTTTGGTGTTGTACTCTTCCCCAAATTATCCATTTATTTTTTGTTCTTTTTATTTAAAAAGACTGTTCAGAACAAATCTTCTGAAGAGCCAAATGTATGGATGTCACTATCCCATTTCTTTTGTATGTTCTGTTTGGGACAAATACATTAATAAAAAGCACTAAAATATTGAACTGGAGTTATTACTTATAATTTCCTGAGGGAACCCTGCCACTCAGTTCTGCTGGTCCCAAGCCATATAGAAAGGGGAGGATGCAGAAAATGAAATTTAAAATATAATTGGAAATGCATGGAATTTTTCAGTGTTCTTTACTTTTTTCAGAGCTTTAAAAACATTATTCCACAGCACTGCTGCTATGTCAAGAGCTCCCTGTTCTTCCTCTCTGATGGCAGTGCACGCAGGGTAAAATGTTGGCATGTGACACCTCTCTCTCCCTAGCGCAGGCTAATAAATGGCTATCATTCTAATACTGGTCATTTAAGAAGAGGAACACTTTAAATTCAAACTCTAGGCACATTCATTATGAGACTGCAAGAAATACTGCTGTGGAGTGTAAAAGTAACAAGCAGCTAAGAGTTTTTCTTTTTATCTTTTTTTATAGCAGGGTCTCCAGCACCTGAATTTGACTTTATGCACACCAAGTGACCAAAAACCAGCATGTAGTAAAGGGACTTTCAATTCCAAGTTGGGGTCGCCATGGGTCTTGTATTCTAAAAGGCCTTTTTGTACTCCCAAATGTTCTGTCATTTTAAATTGCATTTTTTCAAGACTTAGTAATTGTTTTGAACTTGTTTGAAGGTCTCAATCAGGTCACACTATTTTCTTGTAAACCAGTCTTTCTGGCATTTGTTATACAAGTGTCATTTTAAGTAAGATCAAGGAAGTTACATTATTAAATATATCAAAGTTAATGTATATGCACAAAATAAATAGTCTGAGTATGTATCCTTCCCTGATCACACATAATGTTAATTAGATTGCTACAAACTACTATTAAGTATAATGAGTGGCTGAGAATTGAATAAGTATGGAGGAGCCAACCCCCGCTCATCAACTCACTGTGCTACATTGTGGTCCTTAAAATGTAATTGAGGGAGTGGAAGAAAAGCTTCAAGTATACCCAAACTTAGAATCAATTAAACGTTTAGGCCCCCATTCTTCAAACTGTTCGTTCTTGAACAACAGCTCTGGATTAGTTATATGGCTCTCCCTCAGTGGAAATTTACATTCTTGAGACACATGTGTTATATAGCAAATATGCAGGAAGCAATGGGAGGAGGTTAGATTGTTTTCCCCCTTACTGGTTTAGGATAATACTTCTCTAATTTGTAATCTGGGGGTGGGGGAAGGAATTAAGACTGCATTTTCTCCCTGAAACTTCAAATATTTGATGTGGGGGGGTAGTAAAAGGACACGACTCTGCAATATATATTACATACAAATTGAATCAATAAATATAAATAGAAACCTTATGAAAAACTATTTACAGTATTTGGGAAAAGTGTCCTCTATAAATAACTTGCACTTCCAAGGATTTCTCAGGGCTCTATGAGATTCTATGTAAGGTTTTTATTTAGTGCCTCTCACCTTGGTATCTAGGAATTGAACATAAAGATTCCTAGTGAGGAAGGGAACTACTACATCTTTTTTTACAGCTGGGTTAATTGGGTCACAAAGATGTTAACCTTTGAACCTGTAAGGCTGCGATTGAAGTGATTCTTTAGCAGTGATTGGAGAAGAGTATGCTTTGCTACTGCCCCTCCATGTGCTGCCCCTTCCCCCACCCCCAAACTGTATCAAGCTGACATCCTTGCACTGTTGGCTCTGCGTCCCCATACAGAGCCTCTTTGGGATGCATGACAGCTCCTCTTGCCCTGCTTCAGCTCTTGCTATGAGTCCACTTCTTCCCCCATGCCCCAGGTCTGCTGCTTCCTGGCTTTAGAGAGTTAGGGGTTCACTAGCAAGCAGTGGGTAGTATTCTTGGCAAGAGATTCAACATGACCTTCCCGTCGCTGGCCAGAAATCCCCACTCCGTGCCACAGTACCTCTTAGGAGCCTGGCTATAATACCTGTTTGTAACACCTGAGGAATTATCTGCAATTTTAAAAACTAAGTAACTTGTCCAAGGCCATCCACAGCTAGTGACTGGAAGACCAAGAAGTCGTTCTTCTTATGTTTCATTTGTCCCCTACATTAACAATAATGCACATTACACAATGAATTCAGTTTGTTTTGAGTTTATGATATGAAATGATGAGTGGTGGCTTGTGAAACAGGATACTGAATATTCTATTTTAGTTTTCATTGGATTTTTCATAGGGATTTTTTCTGTTTAGCTTGCACTCCCACAAAACAGAACTTTCTTTTTTTACTTCACTTAAAATGATATGCATAGTAGCTTAAAACTAATTTTTGTAACATAATTCATAGAATCATAGAAACATTGGGCTGAAGGGACCTTGAGAGGTCAGCAAATTCTTTCCCCTATGCTGAGGCAGGACCAAGTAAACCTAGACCATCACTGACTAGTGTTTGTCCAACCTGTTCTTAAAAATCTCCAGTGATAGGGATTCCACAACCTCTCTGGTAGCATATTCCAGAGCATAACTACCCTTATAGTTAGAAAGTTTTTCCTAATATCTAAACTAAATCTCCCTTGTTGCAGATTAAGTCCATTACTTCTTGTCCTGCCTCCAGTGGACATGGAAAACAATTGATCAGTGTCCTTTTTGTAACAGCCTTTAACATATTTGAAGATTTATCCGGTCTTCCCTCAGTTTTGTTTTTTCAACTTTAAATATGCCCAGTTTTTTTTAACCTTTACCCCTAGATCAAGTTTTCTAAACCTTCTATCATTTCTGTTGCTCTCCTCTGGACTGTCTCTAGTTTATCCACATATTTCCTAAAGTGTGGTGTCCAGAATTAGACAGTGCTCCAACTGAGGCCTCACCAGAGCTGAGAAGAGTGGGGCAGCCCCCTCCCTTGTCCTACATACGATATTCCTGTTAATACACCCCAAAATATTAGCCTTTTTCGCAACTGCATCACACTGTTGATTTATATTCAATTTGTGACATACTGTAATCTTCAGATTCTTTTCAGCAGTACTATCACTTAGCCAGTTATTCCCTATTTTGTATTTGTGCATTTGATTTTTCCTTCCTAAGTGAAATACTTTGTGCTTACCTTAATTGAATTTCATCTTGTTGACTTCAGACCAGTTCTGTAATTTAAGCTTGGTTTCAATTCTAAGCCTGTCCCCCAAAGTGCTTGCGACCCTTCCCAGCTTTGCATCATCTACAAATTTTGTAAGCATACTCTTCCCTCCATTATCTAAGTCATTAATGAAAATATTGACTAGTACCAGACCCAGGAGTGACCCCTGTGGGACCCCACTAGAGAAGTCCTCCCAGTTTGACAGTGAACCATTGATAACTACTCTTTGAGTATGGTCTTTCAACCAGTTGTGCACTCACCATATAGTAGTTTAATCTAAACTACATCTTCCCAGTTTATTTATGAGAATGTCATGTGGGACTGTGTCAGAAGCCTTACTAAAATCAAGATGTATTTATTTCTGTTTTAGAAAGCCCTGCTGAAGTTCAGCTATTCTGTGCAAGAGGAGAGTGACACGTGTTTAGGAGGCAGATGGTCCTTTGACGATGTACCAATGAAACCTTTGCGAACTGTTATGTTGATTCCATCTGATAGGATGAATGCAATCATGGATAAACTGAAAGAATATCTCTCCGTCTAGACAGTTTCCATGGATAATGTTTTTATAAAGCAGCCATGCAAAACGATATGCCTTTTGAATAGCTTCCCAAAAGTTTTATAATGTCATCAGTTTTGTGTTCCTCAGGAATCACCTTTGTATACTAGTGAAACGTGTAGGTTGTACAACTAACAATGTCAATCATACTGTTACTATAAAATACTATATCCTAGTAGACTTTGGAGTCACCATTAAGAATGCAATAAAAAAAAACCCTACATCCCTAAGACTTCTAAAGAAGTTAATTTTTCTTCTCTTTCCTATTAAATACCTGTGTATTTCAAGTTGAAAAAACGTTGAATGGATTAATTTTGGGACATATTGCACATACTGGTTCTGTTTGGTTGAAAGTAGTTGGATATAAAAGTCATTGAACAATTCATCTTTGTTCAGCAGGAGTTTGGGGATATTTTTCGTATTCTTTGTCTTGCTGTTTTATTTAGCGTTCCTCTTTCATTGTTGAAACAGGTGATAAATGATTACTTCCTGCAGAATCTCCTTGCTTTCACTAGGAGGCAGATTGCTAACATATTATTGAGGTGCCAGTTCCACAAATCTGGTGAGAAATGGAATAAAATATATTTTTTAAAAGATGAAACTTTAAATGCTTTATATATACATCTCATGGTTTGTGCAAAAAAGTGCTTGGAGCCAGTGATAGGTGAAACTGCATATTTAACGCATCAACAATTGGTATTAGGTTTAGTTCAAAAAGAAAAACTGCCACCAAAATGTAGCTGTATGTTTATGCTCGAAGCAGACTTGCAAATTAACATGCTCAGCCTGCACTTGGAGTGATTGGGTTCAGTTCCCAGTGCTGCAAATCACATTAAATATTAATTATGGAGTTTTTCTGTATTTGAGTGCACAGCATGCTCAACAAAATACAAAGAAAGGGTGCATTCTGTAGAGCCCTGGGAAGGAGAAATCAGAGGGAAACTTTCCTGGCAGTTGTATGGGATGACTCGGTTGCATAGGCATATAAAAAAAGCATTTGCTGGAAGTGTCATTTTGGGGGAAAAAACTTGTTAACTTTCTTCAATTAAATTATTTTAATAGAGGAATCTTGCTGGTTTAGCATTAAGACCAAAGAAGAACTAAAATACATTTTCCGTTTTTAGAAATGCATGTTTAATCATTTTAGGGACATTCTTTTTTAAATGGATTGAGTACAATTACAATGACAGACTTTGAGATGTATTGAATGTACGGGAAGGTGCAGTTGGCTTACAGAAGGTACACTCTGATATAGGGAATGTACAGTCTGATTTTCTGTATTTTTTTAGTGAAAAACTTAATAAAAGGTTGGTATACATACAATATACCATACAGTGTTATGCAAAGACACAGCATAGACCAGTAAATGTAAACAAAATAGAACTGGACCCAGCAAAAGCTGCAAATTCCAAGCACTTTCACATATGTTCCTATACAGATTATGAAATCTGTGTGAAAATAACTCCTCACCATGCCAGTCTTGTCCCACTACATGCACTTATACACACAGTTTGTCCTCTCCTTTCATGACCATCTTCACACTTTCACACCACCAAGAAGGGGCATTGGTTATGCTTGGACCCCTCTCTCAAACAAAACCATAAGGAGAGCTGGCAGAAATATTTCTGATTAAAGTTTCTTTTGTTGAAAAATGCTATTTTATCAGAACCAAAATGTTTTGGAAACTTATGTTTTGACAACTTTTTAGTCCGGAAGTTTTCTAAGGACCAGGATGGATTCTTGGGTCAGAACGAGAGAGCGGGAGTTGACTGTCTCTTGTAATATGGTGGTTAGGTTGCTGGGATGTGGGAGATCCAGGTTCCAGTCTCTGCTCCAAATAATGCAGATCAGGAACTTTGAACCTGCATCTCCAGACCAGTGACTTAACCACCAGGCTATAAAGTCTGGTTCTTCCTCCCCTGTGCATCAGAACAAAAACAAACTGAACCTCATAAGGTGAGATCCTTTCTCCTCCTCCTGAAAATCCATTTCTATCATAGTTTGATTCAAGGATTTGCCCAAGTAATATGGCTAGGTCAAGTGCCATTTTAAGTTAACTTTTTTCCCCTTCTATAAATATCAGCTGACTATTTGGTCTTTCATCCAATCCTTTGTTTGTTTGCCTTTTTAGATCATGAACTCTGTGTGGTGGGGGTTGGTTTACCAGTACTGTATAGCTGGACAGGACCTAATGCATACTAGGAAAGCTACTGTCATAGAAATAATTGTAGACCATTGTCCAGATCCTAACTTTCTTGCACTACTGTCAATGTATTCTGCCTCAACTCTTCATGTGCATTGTATGTGGTTAATGCACAGCTTGAGGGGGTGCTTTTAATTCAGTTTATCAGCTTCATTCATTGTAGCTGGCCTGCCTCAATGCAGGGGACTGGATTAGATGAGCTACCAAGGTCCTTTACAGTCCTATGATTCTATGAGCTTCTGTCAGATGTTGCTTTCACTTTCTGATTTTGGCATGTCTGGATTCGGAGAGCAAGGTGGGGAAGGCTCCTGAGCTGATAGGCCCAGTGTGGCAGGCGTAAAGGTAGAGTACCATCTACTTGGTAGAACACTTTCATAACTGAACACTTCCCCTCCACATGCACGTGTTCTGCCATTCTTCAAGGATCCAGCTCAAGAAAGGTAGAGGTCAGAGTCCCGGCAGTTGATTTGGTGATTAGGAAGTGGTATGGCTGCAGATGGGCATAGTTTGGAAATGGGGCTGGCTGCCATGGATTAGGGAGGGTAAAGAGGTAGTCTTGATAAACAGAGTGAGTGAGGGAGTCATTTCTTGCTGGAAAGCAATGCCATGCTGACAGGAAGACCAGAGAAGTCAGAGAAGAATGAATGTTTTCAAAGGGGATATAAGTATATAGCCCTACCAAATTCATGTCCATGAAAAACACGTCACGGACCGTGAAATCTGGTCACCCCCTGTGAAATCTGGTTTTTTGGTAAGCTTTTACCCTATACTATACAGATTTCACAGGGAGACCAGCATTTCTCAAATTGGGTTTCCTGATCCAAAAGGGAGTTGTGGGGGGGGGGAGGGGTGTCACAAGGTTATTTTAGGGGCATTGCGGTATTGCCACCCTTACTTCTGCACTGCCTTCAGAGCTGAGCAGCCGGAGAGCAGCGGCTGCTGACTGAGAGCCCAGCTCTGCATACAGCAGGGCAGAAATAAGGGTGGTAATACCACACCGTGCCATCCTTACTTCTGCACTACTGCTGGCAGGGCTCCTGCCTTCAGAGCTGCTCTCCAGCTGCCCAGCTCTGAAGGTAACGCTGCCGTCAGCAGCAGCAGCGCAGAAGTAAGGACAGCAGTACCTTCTTCCTACAATAACCTTGTGACCGCTCCCACACCTCTTTTTTGGGTCAGGACCCCTACAATTACAACACTGTGAAATTTCAGATTTAAATAGTTGAAATCATGAATTTTACGATTTTTGACCGACATGGACCGTGAATTTGGTAGGGGTCCTGCTATAAGCCACTCACCGTCTTGTCTTTTCTATAGCTAAACTGAGAATGATTCCTCTAGTTTACATTAGGAGGAATGTAAATCTAAAAATGTTCAACAAACTGCTGCTTTTGTGTTGTCTTTCTGTTGTAAATTTGGTTGGACTTAAGATTATTCTTTGGGTAATTTCATTCAGACAACCCCAAAGAGGAGAAAACCCTGTAACGAGAGGTGCTGAAGGGTAAAGATTTTCTGGAACCTACACCACCTCTCAGCCTCTAACATGGATGTGTGGACAGAGGTTCCCTTTCCTAGTGAGCCATCAGGCTGCGGGAGATAAATACCAGACGAGAAGGCTAGAGTATGTGGAGTATTGGTCACATCTTCTCAGGAATTAATGGCTTACAAATGTTTCCAGTACAGTGGGTAAAAGAATTTTAAAAATACACTAATTAATGACAGCTTTGAAACAAAAGTGAACTTGGCTGATACTATAAGAGAAATTTGTTGGATAAATCATAAGTATTTGAATAAATGGAATGAAAGTGTACCAGTAATCCTTTGCGGGAATCAAAGGAATACCATTATCTAGCTTAATTTCAAGTTCTTTAATAGCAATTGGTTTAACTTAAATACTGTGCTGTCTTCTATTCATATCTATAGAATTATACTAAACCATATTTTTTCCTTACTTGTATGAAGTAACCAGATAAGAGAAGTTTCTTTATGCTTAGCGTATTTTCTTTTGATTCAAAGTCAGGTTCTGAAATGGGAAGTTCAATACATTTCACAATCTCTGCCAGTTCAGCTCTGATAACTTCTGCCCTCCTCAGTGCAGAACAGCTTAGGAAATAATCATGACACCATTTCTCAACATCGTAGTCTGAGGAAGAAGAAGTGACAGCATGTTGCAGGGGTGGCCAAAGTCTGGATCTTGAGCCATATGCGGCTCTTTTACCATTAAAGTCTTGGGGCTTTAGCCCTGCGGGGTGCACCTGCCAGCACTCAGGGCTTCAGCAGGAGCGGGGCTGAAGTCCCGAGCCCTGTCAGATGCCTCCCGCGGGGCTGAAGCCCCAACCCCCGGCTCCCAGCAGGTGTGCCCCAGCTCTCGAACTTCTGAAGATTGTCGTATGTGGCTTGGAGGGCCAGTAGGTTTGGCCATCCCTGGCATGTTGCTTTGCCATGAAGTACAATTCAGATTGGGAGCAGGAAGTATATTAATGTGATGTAGCAGAATAAGTAGATGACCCCTTTGGCACTTGCTCCCATCCACAGAGACATGGCTCCTGGATAAAATGCTGTTCTATCTGTGCAAGAGCTTAAAAGGAGAGTGGGAATGAGCAGCTGTCTCTGACAGAGCAGCCCAAATTTTGAGGCCAAGAGCCACATGGAAAACTTAGCCTCATTTAGCTTGCATCTAAAGTACATAGTGGGCCAATCCTGAGTCCTTACTTAGTGTTCTATATATTTTTTTATTTTATAGAGTTTTTCAGTTACATCTTCCAAAATGAAAGTTACTCAGAACAGAAAATCCAAATATCCAGATTTATTGTTCAAAAGATATCTATAAAGTTATCCTGAATTTAGCCTGCTGAGGCTGCCTAACCATTTCAGGTTTGTGTCTCTTTACAATTAGAGGGCACAAACTTACATAGACTAAATACTGGAGCCTTGAGTAAAACAGAGACCACAAAAAATAATAAAGGGGGGAAAATTTATAAGTACCCATTAAATCCCTCTCCCGAATTCAGTGACCAGATCATCCCTTTAGTCCTTAGTTATAACAAAATAAACCCCAGCATAAAATATGCATCAAAATTTTGAAAATCTAACTGCCACCTAGATTGGGCTGTGTGTGTTTGTGAGGGAGGCACGCCTCTCTTTTCATCCCTCCACTGGTTCCCTTTTCTCTATCACATTAAACATTAACTGCTGGGTTTCACTTTCCAGGCCCTTCACAGTCTATCCCTGCCCTACCTATCATCTCACATTCACTATTGAAATGTCAAGTCCAACTTCCAATTGGCCAATGATTACTGATTTGTTAAATTTTCAAACAAGCACTTTCATACTTTCTCCCATGCTGTCCCTCATGCTTGGAAGGAGCTCCTCATAAATGTCCACAAAACTAAGTCATCATCTTTGTAACAGGGTGGACTTGAAGGTTTGCCTACAGACAACCCAAGGGTTGCTGCAAGAAGAGAAATGCCAAAGGCTAAGTCTCAATGCTAGGTTGGAGCTTGCAGAAACTGAGAAGAGCTATGTCAAAGAACAAGTATGTAAAGAAGCTGAGCGGAACAAAGGCCTGGAAAAGGAGATAGAAGGAAGCAAGATATCTGTTCATGCTACAGAAGAATAGTCTTCCTCCCCACCCCACTACAAGAAGAAATTGGAACAGGCCATAGCTAAAGTTAAGGATGATTCAGCGTACCCTTGAGCAACAGGTCGCTGAGTTGGCCAACGAGGTTGGTAGAAGACAAATATTGGCAGAAGCACGTGGGGCATTGAGAAACAACTCCAGAACCTAATAGAAAAACGTGACCATGGCACTGAAAAGCTTGTAGAAATGTGTGACAAGGAACCAAGCACAGAGACAACAGAGCAAGAAACTTGTGTTAACACAGGCAAACTAATTAGCAAGGAATATTGCTAAACAGGGTCCCTGGGCTGGAATCCTTATCACTTCCCCAGACCAAGAGGGGAAGTACAGGCATCAAGAGTAAAAAAGGTCAAGAACTATGAGTTCCAAATAGAGGCCAAGGAATGGGCTTAGAGGCCATTAGACTTTTGGGTTTTCTTGTTTTTGGACTTCTCCATTAACCCTGGAAGCAAAATGGACTGAGATGTGACCTGGCTGGAGGATGGATGAAGGAGGCCTTAGACTGAAAGAACACCTGCAACACCCTATCTTGACAGGAGGGGTGCTCTGGAAGTGAGAGGCTCAACCTCACTCCTTCAAAACCCTCCTTTGCTATGATGTCTACAAAAAAATTGACAACAGTTAAGTCACTGGTGCTCTGCTACCTTGTATTCTTACACCTCAGAGTCTCTATCTATCTGTTATCCCTTGCCTTATACTTAGATTGTAAGCTCTTTTAGGCAGAGACAATCTTTTAGTTCTGTGTTTGTACAGCACCTAGCACAATAGAGCCCTGGTCCATGACAGAGGGTCTTAGGTGCGATGGTAGTACAAATTAATTATTATTGTGCTAGTGGCTAGAAAGCTCGGTCAGAATTGGGATCATTTGTCCTGGCTTCTGTACAAACAAGTGGGCCTTACAAGCTAAAATGGTCATATCTACCTACTATGGGTCATTTTTTTTTATTTTTTACCCCCTGTGAATTGAAATGAGTCTAGCAACAACTTGAAAGAATTATTCAAAAATGCCCTAGAATGAGCCAACCTTTAGCAATGAATTTTGTGTCTCTTTAAAATCTTTGTGATCTATGCTGTATTTTTTGTGTGGTGTACACATTTACATTGACTTGTGGAGTTTGTGCTGGTATCTTTGTAGGCCTTGTAGACATTGATAAGAGTATAGTGATCTCCTGTGGAGTGGAAGATTTTTTGACAGCAGGTAAGAGTATCCTCCTCTGTTCCAGGGGATGGATGTTAGGTGCTTTTAGAAAAGGGGGAGGGGGGGAAATTAAGCCAACATGGTACTGTGCTATTAGGTTGCGGGGTGTTGTTTTGGTGTTAAAACTAATGATGGAATGGGTACATGCTTGAGTCTTCTCATCTATTTAAAGGATTAAATATAACATCGGAAGTGCACATAGAGTATTAAAAACCACACCAGCAGAAACATCAAAATAAATAGCCCATACATCCCACAATACCCCCTGCAGGGTAACATTTAATAGAATAGTTATGCCTTCCATTATGCTGTTATGGGTCAACAGTAGGCTCTATCAAGCCAACAATAAAAGCAAATTCTAGAGTTAGTAGCCCTCAAATGCAAATGCTCTGTTTCCAGATCTTATGTGTTCAAAAGTAGGGCCCACTGTTGATCCATTAGAATGGCATGGAATGAACACCAGCCTAATTGTTCTATAAAGTGATGTGATGGAATTTATAAATTAAAATATTTTGTCCTCCAAGGGGTGAAATAAGTTGGCAAAAGAATTTCTAGTCAGGCAATAGTCCAATAATATTTTTCACAAGAGCTTCTCCCTAATATGGTCTCTGCTAAATACAGGTGAATATAATGAGATCACAAAATCTCTCTCCTCAAAATGAACTTTTTCTCATAAAAAGTTGGAAATCAGTGCTGTGTTTGGAGCATAGAATTCAATGATTCTCATTACTTCACTGAAATTCATGCAAAACTTGAGTTTCACTGCATACTCAGAATAAAAACAGACTGGGCTGTAGAGATCTTCGCTTTGAGTAGACAAGAATTTGAAGAGCCTCTCGATAGCTAAATAATTCTGGGGCCTGTATGACAATACTAGACTTTAAAATGAGCCTGTATGGGCTTGGGCTGGGGGCTCAAGTGCCACGCACTAAAACGTTATTTAGGAATTCCTGTTACCATGGCAGCAATGGTGAGCATTACAGTCAAATTCACATGAAGCTAAAATGGACTTTGACAGCTGTGGATCCTGAGGAAACTCTGACCTAATTATTCCAAATTCAAAAAAGTTTCCATCATTATCCTTGGTGCCAGATAATCAAGATCTTCTAAAGCCTGCATCAGATTTTCAGGAGCTAGAAAAGGGGGAACAAACAATGTTAAATGTGTTAAACGTACATGGATACATATAAATGAACGTATGACGTTCACATCCTAGCACAATAGTTCAGTTATATACTCCCTTATGTAAAAGTGACTGGAGTCAGCGATCTGAAAGTGAGTAAAGGAAGCTATCACAAGAGGAATGAATGGAAGGGCACCAGATCCTTTGCAGCTAAATACACAAATTAAATTTATATTGCAAATATTTCCCCTTTTCTTCTTCGGCCTAAGGTTCCAAAGCTATTCCACAGAAATTTTCTGCACAGCAACAGCAAGCTTGGGTATTGCTGATGTTTTTTATACCTGAGGAGTTTGTGGCTTTTAGCAAAGAGAGAGAAAGGATCTGTTGGGGAACCATGAATTATTTTTGAAACTGACCTACCCACGCAAATGAATGGTAGAATTTACAGCAGGTTATTCTGCATAGATCTTGGCTCCAAAACATGCTTAAGTTCTCCAGGGGCAGGAAACTGGAGCAGCTTTATACACAAAATCAGGGGTTAAAAATAGTTTGTACCTATAGATAGTGCAAACACTGACTGTGCTGATGGCCTTCCATTTTTCCCATCTTGCTGAAAGTATCAGAGCAGCTTCCAGAAGACAAGAATTCGTGAATGCCGCAGGATTATAATATAGGTTGACTCCAGTCAGAATTCTTTGCCTCCTCTCCTGGAAGCATGGAGCATAGCTCTCAGCCTTCTGACTCCAACTGTTTCTTTTTGCTTGCTTCCTTTTCAGTGGAAGTGGACAAAAGATACTGGGATGGTTCCAAGAAGAGGATTGAATACAGGGAGAAGCCAACAAAGAGGAAAGCCAAGGGCAAGCTCTTACAGAGCTGCCAACTTTCCCAGTATTTTTTGTGAACCCTGTGATTGTATTTGTTTTTTTTAATAACTGCTCAAGTGTCAGAAGAAAGATGAGGATGATCTCCTTGTGCTCACCGAAAATGGCTGCCCTTCCCTATTGTTTCCACAGAACTGAAGGCACAGGCTGCTCTCGCCACAGACAGCTGCCATCTCCCTATAGCCTTTGCAGGTGGGAGTGAGACTGTTTCTAGTAAAGATAGTCACTGACTCCTATTGTTTTCAAGATAGCCATCCCCTATTTATTATGTGTGACCTAGGCACGAGACAGGGTGGGAACAGGGGAATGTGTAGGGACAGGATATGTGTAGGGTAGGGAGAATGACTAGAAGGACAGAGGAATGTAGGATACAGAAAACTGAGGGGGAAAAGGAGGGAGAATATGGCAGGAGACTGTGGGTAGCAGGGAGTGACATGGGCTGGGATAGGAACTGAGTGAGAAGAAAGGGAGAGGGGAGTGGAGGAGACTGAGGCAAAGGGCCGGTTGGATAGGTAGAGAGTCAGAACAATGGTAGACGAGGGGGATGGAGACTAGAATGGCAGTTTCCTCACCCTAGGGATTAGAAGAGAGTAAGTGGAGCTCCTGCCATGAGCAGTCATTTGGGAGGTCTATGTTTGTGTGTGCATTTAACATTGGATTTTAAGGCTGAAATGATCACATGCATTTTCACTTAAATACTTACACAGTCTGAAGAAAGAATTGCCAGAGTGTATGGTCTCCATTAGTGGCTCACTAAAAACCTTTCATAACATGATTTATTGACACTGCCAGCAAAAGCATACTCAGCAAGATGCCTTTCTATTTCAAGGATCAAGATAGCTGAGACTATCACCCTCAAGATAGAGATGCAAAATGGCCTCCCCTCATTCATTAAACCTTCATTAAACACTTCTGAGTAGACTTCAAATCCAGAGCCAGATTTTGAACCTTCAAATCCAGAGCCAGATTTTAGGCATAAGGTACTCCAATCTATCTCTCAAGTAAGATCACCTTCTGATTTAGGATATTATTTGCACTAGCTGTTCTTGTAAACAAACTAGGGAAATGTGGTCTAGATGAAATTATTATAAGGTGGGTGCATCACTGGTTGAAAGACCATGTGCAAAGAATAGTTATCAATGTTTCACTGTCAGATTGGAAACAGATATCTAGTGGGGTGCTGCAGGGGGCTGTCCTGGATCCAGTGCTATTGAGTATTTTCTTTAATGATTTGGATAATGAAGTGGAGACTATGCTTATAAAATTTGCAAATAACACCAAACTGGAAAGGGTCAGAATTATTGTGTAGGACAGGATTAGAGTGCGAAATTACCTTGGCAAATTGAACAATTGGTCAGAAATCAACAAGATGAAATTCAATAACAGCAGGTGCAAAGTACTACACTTAGGAAGGAAAAAATCAAATGCCCTAATATAAAATGGGGAATAATTGACTAGGCAGCAGCACTGCAGAAAATGCACTTGGAGTTATAGTGGATCACAAATTAAATATGAGATAACAATGTGATGCAGTTGCAAAGAAGCTTCATATTCTGGGGTGTTTTTTAACAGGCGTTTCATATGTAAGACATGGGAGGTAACTGCCCCACTCTTCTCAGCACTGGTGAGACATCAGCTAGAGTCCTGGTGCCACACTTTAAGAAAGAATTGGAGAGAATTCAGTGGACAGCAACAAAAAAGATTTAGAAAACCTGACCTATGAGGAAAGATTAAGAAAACTGAGTCTGTTTAGTCTTCAGAAAAGAAGACTGAGGGGGGATTTTAGATCTAGGCTGTGCCAATATGTCTTTCTGACTTCCAGCTCATTCAAATTCACAATTGTTCCATTATCATCACAACAGCATCCTCATCTTTCAAACCTGAGAGCCTTTGATTCTCCTCTTTGTGTCTTTTGGGTACCGGACTAAATCTTGGTCCCACTGAAGTCAATGGCAAATCCCACTGAATTCAACAGGATCAGGATTTGATCCTCTTTCCTCATTGTGGAAACTACAAGACACCAGCGACTGTACTGACAACTTTCCAGGTGTCCAAGGGCTGCTCTCAATTTGCATACAAATTTCCATGAATCACTTAATGAGAAATAAATGCACACATACATAATGTGTATCTGTACTTACATCTTCACTGATAGAGGACTAGAAATCACTTGCAGCACTGCTTCTGATCCAACTATTGAACCAGAAGGAGGAAACTGAAAAGTTTTATTTTTTTACATTGATGGTTCATATAGTGCATCCATGCTAACAGTGGACTCTGCACTGAGAGGATCTGGCTGCAATGAGTTAAGGAAAATCAGTTAATAAAATAGAAAACAAGTAAAAAAAAGGTCTATTTTTAAGTCTTCTTTGATTATTAATTCCCCTTACTTTTCCTTTTACAAGGCTCACCCTGAAATAATGTGATGCATAACTTCGCCATAGTGTTGTGCCCATAGTTAAATTAAAAACATGAACAGCATTTTCTTGCAAATGAAGCACTTTATTCCACTCAGATGCTATGTGTTTATGTAGAGATCAGTATTTTGGATCTGTTTTGTATTTAATATTAGAATTCACGTCCCCATCTATACAATATTCAGGATTTATAGTAACTGGGAGCATTTATTAGTGGGCATACAAGATTTAACATGATAATAAATGAGACCTTGAGAAAGTCAAAGCATCTGAGAAGAAAATAGGTTGGATATATAATAAGGAAAAAAGTTTGAGTTTTACCACTGAGCCATGAAATGAAAAGTAATAGCTGATGAACAGGGAAGAGAACAAGAGTCAGTGACAGAAAATACTGACACAAGATTAAAAAGATCGGGCAGGGGAATAGCTATTCAGACTTAAAGTAATTACCAGGGAATCATGGAAAACTAATTTCTATAAATCAAAAAAGCAGTTTGCATTATAAGATACACAATATATGGCTGTCATCCTTATAAGCATCTGGGTTGTCAGCCAATTTCAGTCCCTGGATAGTCTTAAGTGCTTTGCATTTTTATGCCGCAGAGTTAGTTGCCATGAAGTTTAGAAGCAGGAATGGCTTTATGATTTTGCAAGCAGTGTTACAGAAACAAAAACAGAAAAAATATTATATTAGAAAGGGCAAGTTAATAAATGCAGATTAGACAGGTGAAGGAACAGTAATACAATAAAAAATGGAAGGGATTTTCAGATATTAGTTTGCATTTTCAGGCACAAATGCAGCCAATAAAAAAGCCATTGTAAAAATGGCAAATGTTCATTTGAGAATTCTTTATGGTATGTTCCTATTAAATAAAACCCATCATAAATAAGGCAAACAAGAGCAGCATAAATGCTTATATTTGAAAGGCTTTCTTTAAAAGAATACGGATCAGCATTGTTTTATAAAAAAGGTTTTTAACAATAAGAAAAATGTCATTATCGGGACTGCCTGCCAGAGCTAGTTCTATTGCTATCCTAAAGGCAAACTTGCAAGGCTTTGTGACTCAACTGCTACTTCTAAAAAAACAAATTTAAAAGGAAAATGGAGAATTCGGTAATTGTTTACATATTCTTCCTTGTTGTTACATCTCTTTAACTTTGAAAATGCAAAGTGTTTCTTTATCAGATATTTTTCTTCCATTGCTTGTGCACATTGGCTACTTCATATTGAATTGGTCATAGATCATTTTTAAAGGAAAAACACCAGGAAGCAGTTGTTTTGGAAAATAAGTGTATAAGTAAGTAGGTGGACTTTACAACCTAAAAATGTAATTACGTGTAATGCTTAGCATTTCAATAGTGAGGATTTCAAAGTGCTTCACAAGCATTATGGGCTAGATATCCACAAAGGTACTTAGGCTCCTTAGTTAGGTGCTTAGTCTCCCTTTTACAGTGCATGGGGAGGGTTAGGCAGCTAAGAATGGGACCCACAAAAGCCAGCATGCTCCATGGAGAGCTGCCTAAGCTAGTCTATGTGAAAAGCTGAGGAGACAGTTGTGGCCTAAGCCCCGCCCCTCAAAGGCAGTTAGGTGTCTATCTCCACTTGGGATACAGAGCCATGAACCTTCTCCTGGAGTTAAGTGCCTGCGTCCTTTCTCACACAAAAGTGAGGATAAGTAGGCGCTCCACTCCTCATTTATAACTTTTAGTCC